TATGGATTGCTAAGAATCAAAGATTTCATGACATACAAACCAAGTTCCTAGTTAGATATAATTATGTTAAAAATAAAGATAGTATTTTCCAAATGTTCTTCTGCACTTGGGAAATCTGAATATGGTTATTCGATAACTGAATATGGTTATTCTGTATCTCATATGGTTTCCTTTTTTGAGTACAATTTTAAACCAATTGAGGTTTTTATTAAGGTGATTAATTTATCAAAATACTATGGAATATGGAAGTAGAAAATAAGATATATTTGGAAAATGTGACAAATATTTTTATTTAAAGAAAAAAGAAGCCAAAAAAAAGGGCCCCCGATATCTGGTTATTATCTTAAAGATATTGTATTACAGGTTGTAGGGTAGCCTCAACCCAGAGTATTCTTTTATATTTATTTATTTACAGACTGCCCTCTATCAAGCTTGACCTAAGGTGATTTATATTAACAGTACAAAAAGCATTAACAATATATAAATATTTAATGACATATCTATGACATATTTCTTCACAAAGGATGAGCCTTCTTTCATTTATGTGTCAGGACTAGAATTTCTTATGAACACATTGGAACTGAATTTGATTTCTGAAACTTCTTTAACTGCAGCATGGGAGGCTAATAAAGCATTTATGATAGGGTTGTTCATCTCTCGCATCAACTAGAAGGACAGTTATGCAAAAGCAGAAAGATATCTTATTGAATTATCTAAAACAATTAGAAACAAGTCATAAACTAAATTCAGCCTCAGATTTAGAGCAAAAGATAAAAACAATACAGAATCAACTTGATTTACTAGAAGTAAATGAAAGTTATAAGAAGTTGAATCTTACTAGAGAGAAATACTTTGAAAAAGGTAATAACCCAGAGAAATTGTTGCCTTACAATTGCAGAAGGAACAGAATAAAAGAATGATAACTTCTATTTGGGATGGAACCAAATATGTCTCTTCAACAAAAGGCATTGCTCAGCATTTCATCAATTATTTTTCAAATTTATACAGCAAACAGCAATCTGACCCAGCAGAAACTGAAGAAAATTTGAATGGAATATTACCTAAAAATGTTACTGACTGACAAAAAAAGGCTCTTAATCAACCTATAACTGAAGACAAAACTAAAGAAGCAATTAAAATTTTAAAAATAAATAAAACTCCATGACCCTATGGTATTTCAGCAATATAAGATTTTTCAATAAATTCTGATTAAACCTTTAAATCAAGTAATGAACAAGATTCAAGCACATCATGGAAAGAGGCTCTCATTGCCTTGATTTATAAAGGAGGAAAGGATTCGGCTGAATCGTCCTGAAAGATATAGACCTGTTTTATTACTGAATGTGTGTTATAAACTTTTACAGCAATTCTTGCTAAGAGGATAAATGGGTTTTTTAACTAAGATAATACATCCTGACCCGAAGGGCTTTGTGCCAAAGAGTATATGAGAGATAACATCAGATATATCTTGAAGGCTATTGATGATAAACCATTAAGAGCAAAGATACGTTATCATTTTCCTTAATGCTGAAAAAGCCTTTGATAATCTGGAATGGTCTTTTTTGGTTGCAGTTCTTAAAAAAGTGGGCTGCAGCCCTAATTTATTTACATGGATACAGAGTATGTATAAAGAACAAAAAGCTAAAATTACTGTGAATGCTCTTATTTCAGAGTAATGTACTCTACTGAATGAAACAAGACAAGGATGTCCTCTCCCTCCTTCTTTATTTTTACTAGCTTTAGAACCCTTGGCAATCCAAGTACATCAAGAAAACAGAATCCTAGAAGTTAAATTAGCTGCACAAAAATACAAATTGAAAGTATTTGCTGACCATATTATACTAACTTTTGCTCAACCTAGAGTCTCTTTAATAACACTGATAGAACTTTATGCAGCAATATGATTTGGTGTCAGGTTATCAAATTAATAAAGAGAAAACTCACAGGTTGATATGAAATTTGATAGAAGATGAAAAGCAATTTGGGTATTAGCTAACTGTCTTTACTGCTGAAACGGTCAAATATTTAGGAATCTTTTTGACAAACAGTAAGGATTTATTTAAAAACAATTATTTACCGACTTGGAAACACATAATGACAGATATTTCTAGACGGAAGAAATTACATTTGTCTTGGTTAGGAAGAATTGCAGCAGTCAAAATGAATATTTTACCACAACTAAATTTTCTGCTTCAAATTATTCCACCTCTTATTGAGAATAAGTTATTAAATGACTAGCACAGATAAATAATGAATTATATATAGTCTAACCAATGGCCAAGGATTAAATTCAACAACCTGTACCATTCAAATAAACAAGGTGCACTATTATACCAGTTGCCTAACATGGGTTTCAGAATGGAGTATATTTCTTTACAGTTCCATCATCTTAATGAGTGGCTGCATGGATATATTTGGGTTGTCATGTACAAAAAGAAACAATTTTTAAGAGATTACTTAATATTAAGCAACTTACTAAATGTTTGGGATAAATATAGGAAAAGAATAAGTCCAGACTTTTCCTCTCTTGCTTCCTTACTGAGTCTTCTTTTATGATGAAGAAAGCACTAAAAAATTTGCTCAGTGGAGAGACAATAATCTATTTAGATTACAAGATTAAGTTATTATTAACAGGACAAAATTAAGATCTCTCAATCTTTTGCTATGCATGGCTCTTCTATGCTCAGTTGATCCCAATATTCTCAAATAGCACAGCAACACTAGCAAAATCTTACATGGAATATTAGGCTTGCCTATGATCAGTTTATCTTGTCATCTATCACAATAATATCCATGATTCCATCTATATCACTGTCAAAGTACAGTTTTCCCTACTTTCCCCAATCCCCCCCTCATTTGTCACCCCTTCATCTATGTAGGGTGAGAGATATATCTGTGAACCTGTAGCATACTAAAGACATCTATTTTTCAGAGTTCTCTGATTATTTAAAAACAGCTGTGAATCTAAGCAAATCATAAGAACTATGGAATATACATTCCAAACCAAGCGCATGAGTGCCTTGATTCATGGGATGATACCTGAGCTGTTGAATAAATAAAGTAAGTATTGGGAGAATAGCTACAAATGTGTAACTGAGAAAAAAAGAAACAAAAATACAAAGAAATGCAATAGATTGACTAGTTAAGAAGTATAACGGTTAAACTTGTATTAGGAGGGTATGTCTAAGAACTTTTTAAGATGCTCTATCTGACATGTAATAGATTATATTCTTCTACAATATTAAGCATTTATATGGCGTTCTTAAAGTGTTCTGCATAGGTTATTTTAATAAAGATTAATCTTCCTTAACTACCCAAAAACATGTTCTCAGGAACTGCAGCATCAGAAGGAAGTTGAGTAACTCTTAACTAAAAGTACAGCCAGCATACTCAGTGTCCCTAGCTTGAAAAAAATTAGCTACATCATTGCCCCAGTCACCAAGTCAAAAATATACAGGTAGTCCTCAATATATGACAGCAACTGGGACCAAAATTTCCATCACTAAGTGATGTGGACATAAAGCATGACCACGTCATTTAGTGACAGCAATCCTGCAGTCCTGACTGCTGTCATTAACTGAATCCCACAATCATTAGGCAAGGCAACTTCCTGCCGGCTTCCCACAACCAAAGTCAGCAGGGAAGCTGGCAGGAAGTTGCAAGTCCCAGGCCATCAGGTAGGTAAGTGGCTGCTGCCGGGTTGGGAGGGAGCGTGGGGGTATGCAGGCGTGCAGGGGAGGCCTGGGGAGGGTGTGTGAGAGCTGCGGTGCAGGGAGGGTGTACGAGAGGCACCCCGCAGATCAGGGAGGATCAGGAAGGGTGCATGATAGACACCATGCAGGTCGGGTGTGCAAAGGTGCAAGGGGGTGCGTGAGCAGCATGGCGCAGGTCATGAAGGATGCAATGGGGTGTGCAAGAGGCACAGCACAGATTGGGGAGGGTGCGTGAGAGTGCATGAAGGTGCGTGAGAGGTGCAGCGCAGGTCAGAGAGGGTCAGGAAGGTTATGCAAGGGTACAAGGAGGTGCGTGAGGGGTGCAGCATGGGTTGAGGACAGTGCGTGGGGGTGCACAAGTGGCCAGTGTGGTGCATGTGCAGAGGACCTGGGGGACAGTGCACAGGTGGAGGAGACACCCCAGCGAACTGCAACCTTCCTTGCTGGCTTTCCCACTGATTTTCTGGGGAAGCTGGCAAGGAAGGTTGCAAATGGCAATCAGGTGATCGCAGGATGCTTGGCAACTGGTTGTAAGTGCAATTGGGTTGCCAAGCACCCAGATCATGATCATGTGACCGTGGGGATGCTGGGACTGCTGGAACTCCAAGGACTGGTCATAACCACCATTTGTTCAGCACCATCATAACTTGGAATAGTCACTGACCAAATGGTCATAGGTCGAGGACTACCTGTATTCAGAATAGGACATTTTATCTGGATGAGAAATAATAGTCAGAGAAAAACTGTGTTGCCTCTTCTGAACCAACACTCAGTCTGGGAAAGGATAGGTTAGTGAGCAAATTATCTTTGGATTCAAGCTCAGACACAACCCTGGACTACAGATTTAGTCTAATTTGATCTTCCCAATCTATAGTACCTCATCCTATAGGAGAAGTGGACAACCTGTGCCTAAATTATATCTTCCAGCATCCCTGACTGTTGGCCATATTGGCTTAAACTGCTGGAATTAAAGGTTCAGCAACATCTAGAGGGCCACAGGTTTCCCAGCACCCTGCTAATGCTCAGGACTAATTTACATCAAAAATAAATCACATGGACTCACTTCTAATGGAAGTTGCTATATAACATTATTGATGCTTATGCCATAGCTCTAGTATCAATATCTTTAGATTCTGATACAAAAGATTAAAACAGATTTTCAGTCTGTGTAATACACTAGATTGGGATGTGTTGCCCAGATGTGATGACTTGACAAAACAAAACAGACACCACAAAAATGAAAACTATGGTGACATGAAGGAGATGCATTTCTTTTGCATATCTTACCTGTCTCTCAGGACCAATGGGCTCAGATTCTCGTCTCCGCTGTCGGATAGCTGGTGCTGAATATAAGGGGGACTGTGATGGGCTTCCTGGTTGCTGTTCATGTTTACTCTCAGATACTGTCTGGCATTGCACTTCATTTCTGTGGGAACTGTCCTCCTCGGCCACAGGCTGCATACCTCGGGTTCGCCCATCATGTATTTTGGGCCTGACTGCTGCTTCTGCACCCAATTGCCTCCTTTCGTCCCCTTCTTCAATGGGCTTTAGTTCCTCAGGTTCCTCATCTGTTGTTCCAGATGTGCTTGGTTCAGCGCCAGGATGGAAGTCCTTCAGTTCTGTCTCTTTATCAATTATAACCCACTCTTTGCTGTCAAAGTCCTCCTCCTCAGCCAGGGGCACTGATCGGAAAGCATTACTGAGAGCTTCATGCTCCACAGAAGCAGATACATCCATCCTGCCACTTGCCTGTCGGTCTACCTGACCAGTCTCAATAGACAGCATCTGTGCTGGCTGGGAAGAGCATACAAGCCGGGAAGGAGAGCAAGGCAAATCCACTCGGGATCTGAAAATAAAAGCAAAGAAGGACAGGTCAAATTCATTTTAAAATTTAAGAATTTAGGATTATTAAAGAATAATAAGAATGGCTATTTCCTATCATCTAACTTAGAGAACCTTCTGAGAATAGCTCCCCAGAGGTGGGATCTGCTCTCCTCCAAATCCATTGGAAATTCAAAAAATGCACTGATTAAAGCTATATTTCTTCAAGTATTCCTCACTAGTCATATGTTTCTCTGCTACAGAATATTTATTGCTGACTTTTTAAAAAGTTCTTAACAACTTGGCCTTTGGGTGTGGAATCATGGTGACACTTTCCAAAGGTGCGGAGAGCCACCACAGCTGAGAACGCTGGCTGGGAGGCGGATTCTAGCCAGCATAATCTCTCTGGATCAAAGGGAGATCATGTGCTCCGGATGGCAGTTCTTTCTCAGTAAACTGAAGAAACAGAAAAGTTTTTGAAGTTGGCTCAAGAGTTGAGCTACCAGGAGTCCTGGGATTCCATCTATGCTCCTAACTGTGGTGAAGCCAATACGGACTTTAAAACCCTGCTTTCTCCACTTCTTAATCACTTCAGGAAGTAATTAATTACAGATGAAGAAAGATTTCCCTCTGCGGCAAAGATAAGACTCCTTGCGGTGAGTTAAAGCTTCTTTTGAGATTACAAAAAACCAAGATACTTTGATTTAAAGATTTAAGAACTCTTTGCAAAAAGCTTAATTAAGAGAAGATGTAAGAAAGTTTTAAAACGGAAAAGGAGACAGTCTTTTTTTCCTATTTTTCTATTTCTATTTTTATTGTTTTTATTTTTAACAAAAGTGCTTGGGTATAAATTTTCACTAAGTCAGTTCAAGAGACCAGTGCAGCATGGGAATGTTTGTTGCTTATTTTTAAAGAGTATATTTAATTGGCAGAATTTACATAACAAAAGATAAAATAGAGAATCAGATTGTGATGTTTAGTTGTCAAGGAGATGGGATGTTTGTTGTGGCTGAAGCTAAAATGAAAGTGTCAGAAATACAAGAAGATAATAAGGAAAAAGAAGAACAGACTTGTCTTTTTATTTTGCCTGCTTGAGACATCTTCACTTTTGGATTAAAAATGGCTACTACAAAAAAATGGCAAGAGAGGCCAGGATGGTCTCACCAGAGCAACCTATGGAAAAAATAGTCCTGCAGCAGCATTTTAATGCAAGATTGAAAATGGATAATACAGATATAATTATTGTGAAAGAGATTCCTATTAGAATTTTATGTAAGAGAAAAGAATATGCCTTCTTGGCTGAAAAATTAAAACAGAAAAAGATCCCATTTCGATGGGATAAATTGGAAGGTGTGATTTTTACTTTTAAACAGCAGGGATTTAGACTAAATTCTGTTCAGAAGGCAAGAGTTTTTTTAGAAAGACATCAAGGATAATTGGAGGAGATGGAAATGGAGATTTCAGAGGTTACTACACAAAAGTCACAACAGATACAACAGGAATTGGAAAAAGATGATACTGAATTGGGTGCTGCAGGTTTTGGGTGCTGCAAAATTTTTCTAAATTTTTGGCCTATGGATTACAAATGTTTAACATGGAATATAAATCGAGCAAAAGCTCCTCAAGAGAGAAAGAAATATTTCATTATTTGAAGTTAAAGCAAGACAATATCTGCCTAAAAGAGACTCATATCAGAAAAAATGATATAAAATATTTGACTTTTAAATCTTTGGGTGAAGAATTTATTTCAGCAGATATTAAAAAGAAAAATGGTGTTGTTTTGTATATTAACCCTCAATTGAAACCAGAATTTGTACTGACTAATGAACATGGCAGATTTGTTAGGGTAGAAGTTAATTTACATGGGGTCAAGACTACGGTGTTGGGAATGTATGCCCCAAATAAAGATAAAGCAATATCTTACAAACAACTTATGGAGAGAGTAATAGATTTTTCTTATGAAAGTTGGTATTTGATGGGGGATTGAAATGATCTCCCTGCAACTGGACAGGACTTCTGAGAAAAATATTAAAATTACTCATGGTAAATTACCAAAAGTTTTTTTCAATTTGGTGGACAATTTAGGGTTGGTTGATATATGGAGACAGAAAAATGGCAGAGTACACTTATTTTTCAGAAAATGTAGATCCTTTTTAAGAATAGATATGATTTGGATTTCAAGAGACTTAGCTACTAAACTTTCCAAAGTAGAGATTTTACCAAAGACTTGTTCAGACCATAATCCTGGGAGTTTAGTTTATAAAAGAAAACCTAGCTTTTTAGATGGAGACTAAATGAAGTGTTGTTACAGAAAGAAGAAACTGCTGAGGACTGTAAAAGAAACTAAAAGAATTTTTGAAAATAATTTAAATAAAGGCACTGATCTGAGAATGATTTGGGATGCAAGTAAAACCTTTATTAGAGGTTACCTGATACAACATAATTCTGAACTTAAGACGAAGAGGCAAGAGAAAACACAAAATATTTTGGATGAGATAAAAAGAAAAGAAGAATTAAAGAACTCCCCAGGGAATATAAGTATCTCTCAACAAATTAAGATTTTACAGCAACAGTTATTTATCCATGTTAAAAGAAGCAGAAATAAAATTGAATAATGTAAAACAAAGAAATTTTGAATTTGTGAATAAACCAGGGAAATGGTTGGCTTATAAATTGCAAAGAGAAAGAGAAAAGAAAATGATACTGAAATTACAAGAGGGAGATACTGTATTAGTGGACAATGTGGCTATACAAAAACATTTTACCAGTATTATTCTAATTTGGATAAAGGATATGATATTATATTGGAGAAAATAAATTATTATCTCAGAAAACAAAACCTACCAAGGATTACAGATTGCTAAAATGTATGAACTTTTCCTGAAATATGAGCCGGAAGAAGAACAAGTGAAAGAATATATGATAAAATGAGCTAGACTTTTTGGCTATAATATATAAATGGATCAATGGGAAAATACGTGGTTGAAAGGACTGAAATTTACATTATGGTCTAGTCTTAAAGAGAATTTTTATAAAATGATGTATCATTGGTATTTGTCACCAGAAAAATTGTTCAGAATGTATAAAGGCACTTTGAATCTTTGCTGGAAATGTGAACAACTTGAAGGGACATTATATCATGTTTGATGGACATGTAAAAAAGCCAAAAAAATTTGGATCCAAATACATACATTAATTCAGAAGATTTTAAAGATTAAAGTACAGTTGAAACCAGAGACTTTTCTTTTGGAACTAATGGACAGGCAAGTAGAAAAAAGTCATGAAACTTTGTTGTTATATATGACAACTGCAGCGAGATTATTATATGTTCAAAAGTGGAAAGGTTCAACACTATCCACAATGGAGGAATCGTTGGTGAAGATGATAGAACTTGTAGAGATGGCTAAATTAACTTCCTTGATCAGAGAAAAGACAATATCTACATTTATGACTGACTGAAAACCCCTTATAGACTTTTTGCATGAAATGGCAAAAAAAATATACTTATGACTTGTAGTTTTGATGATTAGAAAAAAAAATGGATAATAGAAAAAAGTGAGCTTTTTTTTGTAATCACAGAGTAAGAGATAACTTTGTAATCATATTTATATTTGCTGCAAAGGAAATCGGAAGCTTCTTTCCATTTCTTTTTATTCTTTCTTTTTGCACTTTTGTTTTTCTTTCTTTCTTTCTTTCGTTTTCTTTATTCTGTATTAGTTTGTGTTAGTTTTTTTGTTCTTTTAAGAACTTTTAATAAAATTTATTTTAAAAAAAGCTCTTCACTACCTGTATCCACTTGCCAGGGCATGTCCCTGCTATCCTGTGCAAGGGGATGGCCACTGGGGAGTGGACTCTATCCATTCTGATGCCTCATTTATGGAATGATCTCCCAGGAAGACTTGCTTGGGAGCAATTTTTAACAACCACCATATCCTTTTAGATATTTAGCTCAAAGGTAGATTATATATATATATTTTTTTATCTGCGCTCAGTCGTTACTGACTCTACAGTGACTGCTTGGACGAGTCCTTGCAGTTTTCAAGGCAATTGTTTCAGAAGTG